CCGCCCCGACAGCAGCGCCCGCGGACGCGCGTGGCCGCGGGGTTTGTGTGCGGGACGTGTCCCGGCGTCCCCCGCGAGCGGTGTATGATTTGCATAACCCCGCCCTCCTTCTCTGCGAGGCTCCGCCCTCCGGCGGCAGCACCGCCCCCCCCCGATCTTCTGACACAACTCGGGGTCGTACAAACTACGACAGATTCTTCTGTTCCTTCTGGGTATTATTTCTTTTAACAACCCTTAATCCCTTTTCCGTCTTATAGGTGGAACAGGGGAAAGCTCCAGCCAACCAGAAAAGGTATTTACGGACACTGACAGATATTTGTATTTCTGATCTGCAAAAAGCAGCAATGGACCTGCCCCGACATGGATCTCTTGAGGCATCCCTCATCTTCTCAGGGACCAGTCAGCGGTTACAAGTATTTCCCTTTGTCCTCTGCCGCCGAAAGAGGGGAGGGGAATGGGGCCGGGACACAGCACGGATCCAAGGCACAAAGGTGGGGTGCAGGTAGAATCCCTATTCCAGCACGCACGCGGGGTTTTTATCCGGAGGGAAAGGGCCGAAACATAGGGTGGAGCAGGAGACAGACAGGCGGGGGGACAAACCAGGATTGGGCCGTGGGCAAAAGGGGGGGGAGGGCAGGAGGGAGCAGGGGAGGAAAGGGCGAGTGGGGGCTGTCTCCTGCCGCAGCCTCTCCAGCCACTCGGCAGAGAAACAGAGGAGCAGGGAGGTGAGCAGGCCGGGCCGTGCCCGGGAGATACAAATTCTGGGGGAACACACAATGTACATGCACAACAACTGTAAAGCCCGAATCATAAAGTCTGTTCTATCGCTGTACATATTTTTCCATTTCCGGAATCGTTCCCATTCCGATTCCTGCTCCTCCACAGTCCTCTTCTCTGTCCTCTTCCTTTGTATGATCTGGTGCAAACTTTCCTTCCTCGGCTCAATTCCAGACGAACATCAGGTGTGCAGGCATTACCTTCCCATCACTCCTGCACTGCTCTATATCCTGAGGATTGAGGCTTTTTCACTGGCAGGACTGGAGTGTTACATTCTGATTGGCAGCAACCCAAACTCTAAAAATTACTCTATTAACGGTTCCAGTCCTTTCCAGACCCCTCATTTTCTGGGGTGTTGGTCTTTTCTTACTGGTTTGACTCCTGCTTTCAGTTCAGTTTTTACCAGACTCGGGGTTCTCTCTCATCCCGGGGTTCCCAGAGCCCAAACCAATGGTACAACTGCACCTAAAACTTCCCTGGAGATTCCCTTGTCTGCAGGTTTCCCTCGGTGAGTGGGCAGAGCTGTGCTTTCCAGGGGTTTTCCAGAGGAATGTGCAGCTGGACGGAGTCCTGAGGAAAAGTCAACTGTGCCTTTAACTTGCCCAGCAAATGCTGCCCAAGCAATGGCGAAGGACACTCGGCCTGTGGAGAAAGCCATGAGTTCATTTTGTGTTCCCAGTCGTGAACTCCACGGGCTGTGAAACGGTCCGGGGGATTCCCTGTCCCGGAGGAATTTCACAGCAACAACACCCACTTTCCTTTTGCTAAAGGTCCCTCAGGGCCGGGACCTATGGAATGAGCTGCTCCAGT